TGAACACAAAGCCTTCTTTGGATTAACTACAGGCCAGGGAAAAATGTGACTGTGACATACACATAAAAACTAATAGAAGAGCACTGACTTCAGGGCGCTAGTACAGAGAGGCCAGGCGTCACATCCTTTACCATGCAGCATTCAGCTGCTTCATACACTCCGATCGTACAGGATGAACTCTGAACTTTAATGAACTTGCTCCCGAAATCCCTCTTTTACTCATGTGATACTTTAGACTGTTTGTATGTGCTGTCCTGTATATGTTTGTGTTGTGTTTTTATTCTCTCGGTGTAAGGTATATTCCCCTTGGGGCATTAAAAGATTTCATTCAACACGGCGATGATCTTGTTTTAGAGTAAGGTCTTGTACCTGCTTTTTGTAAAGTGCCTTGAGATAACACTTGTTATAATTTGGCGCTATACAAATAAAGATTGGTTGATTGATTTTCATGATTGTGGGAAGACAAGATCAATGATAAAACTGTGAAAAACTTACAAAAGTGTGTCCATGTCTCATGCTTGCAACACGACGTAGAAGTACAAAACAACATAATTTAAATCTCAAACATGAAAAAACAAACGTGGTGATTCTTGGAATGAACCTTTAAGTTACTTTAAGAGGTTTTAGGGGGCGCTAGAGGACATGATCTAAGACGTGAACACAAATTCACATCGTTATGTTTGATTATCATGAAGCGAACTACTAAAAAAAAAAGTTAGAAAAAAATCATCAGTAAGTCCCATTAGTGATCCACTCTCTTGAAGAATAATCACAGAGTTAAAGCATGCACTCTGAACTTTATTTATAGAGCACACAGCCGATCAACGAGCTGAGCAGAGGAAAACACAACGCAGGAGAGAGTAACAGATAAGAAGAATGAGGGGACAGGTAACGATTATGTGCAGTGGTGATTGAACATTGAAGATAAATGAGTAGAAATATGTTTGAAGGAGAGTCTTAAAAACACCAAAAATGAGTGAAGGACGGATGTTGGGAGATAAAGAGGGTCACAGTGTAAGCAGTAATGAACCTGCATGAAGGGCACAATCAATCCATTCTTACTGAGTCAAACAAACATCAGTCATCCGGGACGTACTGGAGCTCAGAATAAATGTTGGTTAATTGCTGTCACAAGACCTCTAATGACTCCACGTCGTTCAGACGGTCACTTAACACGTCTTTCTCCACGTTTCATTGCTGCCCCTTTAATTCTAATCTGACTATTGTTGCTCCTCTGATTGGTGTGAATCCCAAAACAGCAAACTGATTAACCATCGTCAGTGTTAAAGAATCACTAACTCCCAAGATGTTAGCTGAATTTAAAGACGAGCTGAAGCCCGTCAGTGGCTCCTCTCGTCTTTTCTTATGCATGAGCAGCGTCTCATTATCTCCAGAGGAGGAGAAATAACAAGCCCGGCTAATTGTTCACTGATTAACGGACGGTAGCTCTGCTGCACAAAGAGAGAGAGAGAGAGCAAGAGGGGAGAGCCTGTCAGCGGGGTCGACATGTCCAGGCTTTGACCCAGCTGTGTGCAGATGTTGTGAGGATTAACCTCTCTATGCTGAGCTCTGCAGGGTCGACACTGTACCTGAATGTTAAACTTCAATGTGGGGAAAATCAAACCATGACGATACCTGTTTCAAAAACACGGCATCAAACATAGAAGTCCTAGTCTCCTAATATTTGGACATTTGTTGATTTGATCTGAAATGTGCAGCTCACTTCTGCAAACCGTCCAAAGTGCACAAATACAACTCTCTCTCTCTCCCTCTCTCTCTTCTGCTCGAAGCAGTTTTTTAGTTAAAGATTTGACTGAAGTTCTGAGTTTAGTTGAACCTGCCGTACATTTCGGTACTAGACTGCATCGTTTGAAAACATGTGGTATCAAATCGTATCACAGTATGGGAGACAGCTTCAGTGCTCTGACATGCTGCGAGAAAACGTGTACAGGACGTTTAATTTGATTTGATTTAAAATGTATTTAACCAGGAAAACCTCATTGAGATGAAGAATAATTTATAATAGTGTCCTGGTCATGACAGGCAGCAGCACAATAGACAAGTTACAGAGCTACGTATAGGAAGTCACACGTTTGCCTCCAGGAGTTATACCTTTTAACTTTCCTTAAAGCTCGTACTGAACTGAGAAAACTGGCGTTCAAGAATTCTGCTCCCTCTTCTTGGAATCGGTTGCAAGAGTAACCGATCTTGTAAGATAGATTCTTCATTTCAGTGAGACTCTTCCTGGTTAAATAAAAGATAAAAAATGAAACACAGAACGATTACAGATACAGATCAGCACATCCTGAGTCTCAGAGCAGAAAAGTCATCATCTACAACCTGAAGCATCGTCCTCCAACACCTTCAATCTACTTTAAAACATATTTGAAGGGACCAGATCCCGATCATTCTGCAAAGGCAGCGTACCTGAAACTTATTTTCCTCATTTCAACACCATTGTAAATATTAACGGACGAAGCCTGTGTGACGTCAGACATGTGTTCCTGCAGGGGGCTCAGGAGGCATATCGGCAGCAGCCGCCCACCTGTCAATCATGTACGCGCCTAGCTATGGATAACACGTATCGTTCTCGAAATAAAAAAAATCACCCCCGTACAGTGTGTGCTACTGAGGACAATAATTAATCAGATCTATTTGGTTTTTCTTGTACCAGGCTGTAAACATGTTAATTTATGATGTAAAAACGTTTTTTTCCTTCTCATGTGTGTGTGACTTCCTGTGTTTTTGGAGCCAGCCTCTAGTGGACGCTCGATGAACTGCAGGATTTTGCACTTCTGTTGGCTTCATTTTTCAAGACCGGAAGTTGCCGCTTGTTCAAGACATACTTTAGGAACATATAACAACAACAAGCTGTGACTTCTTTGTGCTTTGAGTTTATTTCTCTGTGTCCGGTCTGATGCTCGTACGTCTCTTTGACCATGTGACGTTCTCTGAGCAGAGAAAACACCGACTCTGAAGTCAAACAGTGCAGAGGGGTCAAAGTGCAGACGCAAACTTCCAGTGTTTGTGGGCGTAATAGAAAACAATGCAGCTTGAAGTCTATCAGACTTATCTAATACAACAAAAACCAGCGAAGAACTCTTCTTTTATCTTTATCTGGAATAACTTCAAGAATCAATGTCTCCGTGTGGAGACGGCTCCTGAGAGTCCCGACTCCTCGCTCCGCTGTGCTGCGACCAGAATCCCTATCAGAGGCTTTACACAACAGGGCACCCGCTGCTGTAACCCAACTACCACGAGTCACATTTACTCTGAAGGTTGATGTGGAATAAGTTGTGTTTTTTGATGTTAAAAAAGTACACTTTGCTTCAGAAAAAGTCTTATCAATGAAGCAGATTAAACGGGCAGTTAGCATACAATGATCGAGTGATTAAAGATAACCAAACACTGGTTCAGCTTAGAGGCTATTCACTTCATGTAAAATGACTATGAAGAGCTTTGTGTGGCGTTCACTGACACAACACAGATCTGCATATTAAAACAAACGGTCATATGATCAGTTTATCTCTTTATGTAAAGTTTAATCCTGCGAGCAGACGGGGCTGTCAATCACAGGACGACCCAAACATCCAAATATGGAGCAACCACTGAAGTCTGATCAACTGACAGAAAGTATTCACACTGTTGATGCTTTATTATTGTATGGTTTTGCAATATGACACAAAATAAAATTTTATATACGATATAACACAACATGATGTGATACGGTATATTATACCAAATACAATGCGACAAAAGATTTGATATATGAGATAAATAAGGTAACTTACTCAGTTACCTCAGGTAACTACTCAACATACACATGATAACTATAACAGGTTAGAGCGCATCCTTTCTGAATCCAAATATCTGGACTCTTTGTGCAGCTGCATACCTTCTTATCCAACATCAGATTATTCTCTGTATCTGCGTGGGAAAAGTTTAGACACTTTGAAAGAGTCTAAAACACTGAGAGGAGTTTAAAGTATGTGGCCTCACTACATGAAGTCCCCGCTCTGAATCACAGACTATCTGAAAGCAAACAGCTCGCACCCGGATAAAGTCTGACAGGACGGCAACTGATACTTAATGCATCACTTTTTTTTAATCTCACTTCCATGGAGTACAAGGAGGGTGGAAAAAAGCACTCTTATCACGAGGTAAGAGTGCAAATATATAATAAAGGAATGACACAGGGATAAATAAATATGCAAATAAATAGACCAATGAATAAACATAGTAGAATAATTGTACCCTTTTGACATGTATTTGTTATTTAATACTGTATATGTTGGGTTTTCTACATCTAATAGCAGATCTGTTTCTTGTGCATAAATCAGTTAATATGTTTAACACTACTTTACTAAATAAGACACTATAGTTTAAGTATTACAATTATACTCACTCTCTTTATTTATATCCTAAGGTTGTGTCTTTATGTATTGTAAGCATGTCTGTAAACTAATCCTGTACACAAACAAAGCAAAAATATTAAAATAAGCAACTTTCTTTTTTTTTTTTGGCTCATGACCGCACTTTGACTTCACAAAACTCTGGCAACCTCAGACATCCAAAACACTTAGGCTACAGCTTCTTGCTCAAATTAATTTGTTTTGGATCATGAAATATTTTCAAGTAAACATTCAGGTTAAAACACCTTTACGTTTTTTTGGTGTTTGTTATTGTGGACTGAGGAATAAAGGGAGGGAGGACATTTCTGCAGACAGACACAGACTCTGCAAGTTTCTTGTTTTGGCATTGGCTACCTTTGACCCAGCCTGGGGTCAATACATTTTAATATACAATATATTCGTTATTGACCAATACATACTAATTTCGGGCGACCCCACGTGGAGTCGGGACCCCACGGTTGGTAAAGCCTTTAGTAGGTGCTCTGTGTTGTATCTTCTCATTATTACATAATTCTCTTCATGTCATTTCCCCGCACAGACAGATATGTCCATCCTGCCACGCGGTAGGTACCTCTCTCCTCCCGCCGCTGTTCCCGCACGGTCACATTTGACGGGGGGACCACAGCAGAACGGCAGCAGCGATGGCTAAAAGTGATGGATGCGATTACTTTAAGAGAACCAGCTTGTTCTGGATCATTTCTGTCACATTTGGGATGGGACACCTAGCTGTAAGTTCAATTATAAAGTAGATTTGTTATTATTTATTTTTAATAAATACTGTTTTTGTTTTTCATTTTCTCGCCGTGAATGCCACATAGAGATTGTGTTTCGCAAAACATCTTCCGGCTGGTTTATTATTGTCAAATTCGCTTTTAACTCCACAGAAATTGAAATGTTTAAATGTAATTTAGATTCTAAAAGTCTAGAAAATGTTCTTGTGTAAACACATGTTTAGTTGATGTATTATCTTATCGGGATTTATCAGCCTCTCTTTAGGAGCAAAGGTGAAACTCAGCCTCGTCCTAAGTCCAGTTTTTGTCCACTGTCCCGACTTTGAGATACTCTCTGTTATTTTAAAGCAAACAAACCCGTGCTAAACCTCTTTTGTAAATATGCTAATTTAAGCCTCTTACTCACCTGTAGCTGTGCAGCAGAGGTGAACGTGTTATTTTGGGGTTAATTGAGCTGAAGAGCTGTGTCAAGAAAATATGAGACTATTTCATCATTTGATAGTAAAATGTGATGTATGATACAATTTTCTGTCAAAAAAAAAACGCAGGTGTGTTTGATTTCAACCCTGCTTTTATTTTGAAATAAAGTAAGGACCTTCTGGTAGATGTCAGCACATGAACTAATGCTGCATTCATGTGGTGTCGGACAGACCGGAAAAAAGAATCTCCAAGTTGAAAAATGAACATGAACACCTGCTCAGACTTCCCGACTTGGTGTCGGAATCGTCATCACCTGGGGGGCAAAACATACTTTTTATTAATTCACATATTGCACATCAACTTTTTGTTTAAATATAACTTGGAACAGTTGCATGTCACACATCCTCTTCTTAGCGTCCACGCTTTTTTTTTTGCTGTTGTTACATCATTCTCACTTTCAGAACTGAAATCATGTGAACACACTGAAGTCGGAAGAACGACTTCCCAACTCGGAAACTTGGAGCACCCGAGCTGCACATGAATGCAGCATTAAGCCCAGAAACAGGAAATGGTTAGGGATACCAAACTGAGGTCAAAGGAACGGTAACAAAGGTCAATGTGTGATTTCATGGATATTACTTTGGACTCGTCAGCTGAGCTGTCTGAGAGTTTGTTAAAGTGGAATGAGACATTCAGAGATGCAGCAGTATCCTTCTTTTACATCACTGAGACTACAGGGAGACACCTGAAAGTTCACAGTTAAACTATAAACTCTGTCGTTTTGGGTGATCGACGACATAAATAAACATGACGTTGAACCCTCAGAGCAGAGGGCCCCTTCCAACAATAACACCTTTGTCACAGTCCACACGGACACCTGACCTGTTCCAGGTGCACAAAAGAGGACAAAAGCCGTCACGACACAATGAGACATTCTGATTTACATTCCACTGAGATCTGATTGTGTGCAGGGCTCATTTTATTTTAGAGATGTAATGAACAAATACGGACAATTTAAAACAATATCACTAATCTGCAGGAATATATTTCCTTTTGTACTTTCTGAGTATATAAGTATATAAAACATTAAGTGCACTTGTGTATCTACATATATAACTGTGTTCAGTCCTCGATTGTTTGAATTGTTTGTTTTTAGGGAATGTTTCAGTTTCTATCTGTAGATTTCATGTTAACTGATTGTTGGTTGGAGCAGATTTCCACTTAGAGAAAACATTGATTCTGAGGGAACATTTGGAACCCCCCCAAAAAAAAAAAAATGATTTTTTTTTTTCAAAATGGAAATCCCGTTAAAGAAAAACCCAACATGGTGCTCTCAGCCATAACTGTGTCAGATTCCATTTCAGTTTCATAACAAAGCTGCTCTTTGTGGAACATCTCTGCGTTTGTGTCATCATCTAAATCACTGCAGAGACTTTAACAACCGAGAGAACCTGACATCATACAGCTCATTATCTGCCAGCTGCCCTGGGATTTTTTATATTTAAACTTTAATGGACCAGATAATCGGGAAGCAGTCACTCAGTCTCTCCAGCTGCATGGCGTCATGTGTGCAGATTATCACAGAGTCAGTAACCACACAGTCCTGAAATTCTTTATTTCTGCTAGAAGAACATCCATAAAGGTCACATGTCGTCTGAGTCTTTTAAAGCTTGTCATACTTTGCTAACTTTATGAATGTATGAATATTCAGCCTCTCTGTCTGTGATTTTCAGTGCATGGTGTTTGCACCGGAAATAATTCCCTTCCAGCACCTCGGCCCGTACGGCACCTTCTGCAGATACCTGCTGGATAACTATGCCGGCGTCCTGCATAAAATGTGAGTGATTTGAAATGCTGCTGCTCATTCAGTTTGTGAGAGAAATGTTGATTACATCCTTAGGAGGGCCTTTCATTTTTTACTTAAAGGGGACATATTATGAAAAATCCACTCTGACAGTGTTGTTGAACATTTATTTGTGTAACCTGAGTGTCTACTGATCCACAAAATGTGAAATAAACACATCCAGTCCTTTGTTTGTGGTCTGCATAAGTCTTACAACACAGAGGAGTGTGAATGTGTTCTCCTTGTGATGTCACAGTGGGATTTTGGATGTCCACCCATGGACTCCACACGCAGTCTAGAGCAAAACTTTTGCGTAGGTCCATCTTCTTTATTCTCGCTAGCAAAGGAGTGATGTCTACTGGGAAAACTCAGGGGGGGCTCATTGCATTTAAAGAGACACACACACCAAAACGGAGCGTTCTGAGAGAGCTGGTTTATACAGGGTCACAAACCTCCTCTGGTGCTTGATTCATGTTATATTTTGACCAAAGCACAGCACAGATGTTTCATTTAGACCACAGGGGGACTGTTTGAAAAGGTGGAGAAGGGGGGGAATATGTCCTCTTGAAAGAGTGAGCATGTGAGTCATCTCCTATCATGAGATAACAAAATAAAGAGAGGTACAGCCGTCAACATGAGTCCATTCCATGATCTTAGTTTAATATGTTGCCAAAACAGATCCCATCTCTCTGTCATCTTTCCTCCCACATTCATTTTTCCCAACATGTATTCAGTCCATTCCTGCACAGTGGGCCCCCCGGGGTCCTTCCAATTTTCGCTGTATAATCCTCGTTGCTGTGATAAATACAACTTTTAAAATGCTACATTTTGGGATTTGTTACTTTAGGCACCAATGTCTTGTCACTAAGGAGGCAAAGTCGTGGGTGCACCGGGAGAGTGACACCAATCCAATCCCCGAGTATCTCCAAAGTATTACACCAAAATGGACGCAGCATAGCACATTCCCAGATCAGATTTAAATATGAGCCCAAGTCGTTCTTACACTTCCTACAACAGCTGTTCTTTATTGTTGAGAATAACAGCAGAGGCATATTGAGGATCCTACAACTTAAAACACTACAAATTCAGGTCCTCAGAGATCCTTCATTCAAATGTTTCAATCCCAGAGCGAGGGGGATGGTGTCATTGTGAACTGCACCATCGGTCGATTGTCCTTCAAAACAGTCATCACAGCTTTGCAGCCGTATCGACTCTGTAACATCTGCATCGATATGTATTAACAAGGAGCACATGACCATATATTTCCATATGGATGTTTTGAGCACAGCCCTAGATCTCTCAGCTGGAATACACTCTTTAATCAACGTTAATGTTTTTAATCCGTTTACAGGTCGTTAACACGACTTTGCCAATGAGTCGTTTCCCTCAGGTGACCCGCTGCAGCGCCCTCACCCTCGCCCTATTAAGATAGTGATCAGAAGATAACGACAGATGTTAAAGTCATGTGACTCCCCGAGCAGCCTGAGCAGGGAGGGACCGTTCAGTGTTTGTTGGTTTGATTCTTGTGACGTGATTGATCCTTTCCAGGTCGTCATGTGATTGCTGTTAAAGTAAACAAACAAACAGCGTAATGTTTAAAAGTGTTACAAGTCTTCTTTAAGAACTCGAGGGATCTTTTATTGATCATCAAAGCGGTTTTCACATCTGCACTCCTGATATATATCTAGTTAACTTCAGGATATTCTCCTGACCTGGCTGTTCACATATGCTCCTCATAGCTATATAAGTCAACAAAAAATGAAGAACACATTATGTGAGCGGAGATTGCAGCGGTCGTGGGCAGACGGTCAATGCACGAAGTCACAGGATATCGCTCCCCCCTCTTATTGGCTCGAGGTGAATTCTCCTGATTATATCCTGCTGTGTCCTCACATCAACTCAATCTGACTTGCTGCGGAAAAAATACCAGGGGTCTGGCAGGAGAAACTCTGGGTGAAAAATGTGTTCACACATACAGCTCCTCCTGGAAATATCAGGAGTTTTTCAGGAGTGTGAAAGCTCTAAAAGTTTAAAGTATTGTTGTTCTGAACGGACAGTCTGCAGAGGTTCACGCGTTTCTCTGTGTTTCAGGTGGTGGGCTGCCTGGGCAGTCCATGTGTTTGAGGCCTGGTTTGCGTTGAGGGTGTGCAGGTAAGAAAAAAAACATGACAAACAGCGTCCACTAGATGGTGCTAAAATCTAATTTTTCACAAAACTGTTTCCTTCGTCTTCCTCTGAAAATGTGGGTCTCAGGAAAAGTTTAATAACTCCCTAAAAGTCTTCATAGTATGTAGATGCCAAACTAACATCGGAAACCTTCTCATTTGAGATGTTACTGGTTTGTGACAACAATAACTAAGTCAATCCTCCAATCAATCAAAACTTTATTAATCACTCAGGGTCCAGAGGAAACGATTCAAAAGACATAAAATACAATGCAGAGTATAAAAACATGCAACATGGATGCAATGCATGGTATGAAATCATTCAATAAATAAAAACAACGCCCTCAGAGAATACAGCTGTACCAGTGTGTCCATATCTGGGATTGATAGCGTGCTGTGCTGCACTTGATGCTCGTCAAGACCAGCATGGTTTTATTCTGTGAGTTATTGAGTCGGCAAATCAATTTAGAAATAAGATTAGAAGATCATTTTCTGGGGCGCCGGTTTTCTAGTGGTTAGTGTACGCCCCATGTATGAAGGCTGTAGTCCTCCAAGCGGACGGCCTCTCATGCATGTCATTCCCTACTTTCTGTCTCCCTGATTCCTGACTCTATCCACTGTGCTGTCTCAAAACAAAAGCAGAAAAAGCCCAAAAATAAACCTTAAAAAATGAACATAATTACTGTTGGGGCTTTTCTGCCTTTATTTGATAGGTCAGGGGACATCTCTTACCTTATTCTATCCCAGCGTACCTGTGCAGTACTCTAGCGCCCCACTGTAACAATAACACACAGCCTCTGTATAAGGATTCCTGACTTATCCTTTCAGCAGTAATTACATTTTTTCAATCATTTTTGAACCATTTGTTGACTTTGGAGTAAAAAAAAAAAAAAATGCTGAGTCATGATGAGAATGGAGAAACTGTAAGAATAAGAACACAATGGAGGAGCAGTCTGATTTCATTTCATTGTTTGGTGTCTCTGTGTGTCTGCAGTAAAAAAGGAATCACCAACACGTCCGCTCGCTGCCTGTGGTGCGTCCAGACCTTTCTGTTCGGCTTCGCCTCCCTCAGCCTGCTCCTCAAGTTCGACCCCGAGCGTCCCAAACAGCACTGACGGCTGCAGGACAAGGACGAGCCCGCAGAACAACACGCTGAGTCCAGCGTCCTGCCTCCTCAAACCCCCTTTGCTAAATCCTGCTGAGAGGGCGAGCAGAGGAAGACAGTCGAGCCTCTCCTTTAACTAAGTTTTGAAGTGAACACTACATTTTCTTACTAAGTCTCCATCTCATTCCACAGATGTTCTAACCATATAAAGGACAGTTGTATTTCCTTTATGATAATATGTTTTTTAATATATAATAATAATGAAACAGATAATCTCAGAGATCTTTTAATAAACGTGTGCCGAGCTGAATATTTAGTGCAATAGAAGAGGAATCTTTTCTAAAATCATTTTTTACCCTCATGATGTTTACAATCAGCGTGTCTGATGGAGGTGTGCAGATTTTCTCAGCTGCTGTGATAAAAAATAATAACGAAGTTTAGTTGTAGATGGTACAATCCACGTGTCCTTAAAGCGTGCTGCTGAGTGTGTTAACAACCTTCTCATTCGCCTTTCTTTTCCCTGAAGTGCTTAGAGTTTAAATTTCAAACTGTAGGCTGGAAGTCCTGGATGTTAATGCTGCAAAAATAAAGAGTGACTGAACAAACTGCACTGATTGTGTTTCACTCGCTGTTTTTAAATCTCCCTAAAAATGTGCAGAAACCTGCAGCCATCATGCTAACAACAGAGCTGAGACACTTTGAACCAAACCCTGACAACGGTTTTTGTTGATGTCGTTAGATTTGTCCCTGGTGTTATCTCACACATATATAAGCTGATTAGAGTTTATAAAGGCTCATTTCAGATTTTTTTCACACTTAAACATTCAGTAAAGTAACGTCACTTAAAGGCAGGGTTGGTAATTTTCCAAAACTAGCATGATTTTGAAAGTAGCATTCCCTCAGTGCTCGGTCTACATCCACCCCCTCCCCTCTGTGCTCCCTCTAAAGCCACGCCCCCTCACTTACATGCACGAGCGCCGTTGTTCCAGAAGTGGACCTCAGCTCATCTCTTACATTGTGTAGAAACTACGTCATCTCATGTCTCATTCAGCAGTAAATAAACTCACAGTATAAACTCCGTCATCGGTGACGCACTTTGAGTGTGAGCTAGAGTACACAAGAGGTAGAGAACGAGCAGGGAGACAGGGAGGTATCTGATTGGTTCATCAGATTGGTACCTCGTGGCAGACATTGGTCGAAGTTTTTACAGACTTACAACTGATACAGATGACAGATTTTCTTTGTTCCTTTTTCAGAGAACATGAGTTATTAATTTCTGTCAGGACCTAAAGACAATTTCAGCCAGAATCAGAAAAAGTGGATCTGGAGGGAATTACCAACCCAGTCTTTGAGTGATCAAATTCTTCCTCAGGGGAACGTAGCATGAGCATAAGCTTAGCGTACTGAGCTTTGGGTAGTGAGTGGAATTATGAGATCACGGATACAAGCAGCTGAAATAAGGTTCCTCCAAAGGTGGACTTGGCTCAGCCTGAGAGATAACCGGAGGGAGCTCAGAGTAGTGACGCTGCTCCTTTGCATGTAGAGAAGCCAGTTGATGAAGTCGCCTGCCTTAGGTCTTCAGGAAAGCCCAACTGAGAAGAGGCAGAAGGTCTTCTTTCTGATCATGGGTTTAGGAACGCCTCGGGATATCCCAGGAGGAGCAAGGAAATGTTGCTGGGAAGAGGAACGTCTTGGGCAACTTGCTTAGTCTGCTCAGACCCAGCCCCGGACAAGATAAAGAAAATGGATGGATGGCAATTCATAGCAATTCATCCAAAGGTTGGATAAATATTTACGACTACAAACATCAACCAGAACCAGATTTGTCAGCCAGGGGTCATGAATGTGTCCAATAAAGCTCACAGAGAGAGACAGGTTATTAGTCTGATATTTACATGAACAAATCTCCAAAAGACTCCAACAGCACGAACACAGCCCAGAGGTTAAAGGTCAGGGACTGAATTAGCTGAGGTGACACCTAGCAGACAGCTAGCAGCTCCCACCTGTCACTCAAAGAGGCCACGCCCCCTCATTATACATCATTTTAAGCCTAAATGTAGTTTTAACAGGTGAGTTACACACAAAAGATTAATTTGCATCTACAGGAACTGTAGAGTTAGGTGGTTATTCTGTGGGTCTGTATCGACTTGCAACCTATTTTTTTATTTCATATTTTCATTCTAATAATCGTTACTCCCAAAATATTGAATATAGCAACTTAAACCAATCCACCACTCCCCAGAGGACGTGATTCGTTTCTCCCTCGCTGTCATGAAGCACACATTGAAATGTCTTTTAATCACAGTGCTCTTCCAGTGGAAGGTGTGGGTGTGACGTCGTCCGACTGAAGCTGAACCAGTAGCACCGGGTCATGATGTCCTCTGCTTATGAACTTAAGAGCATTAGGCGTCTTAAACCTCCCAGTATCCACCAGAGCTGTCTCCAGTCATTAATCAGGGGTGGATGGTAAGGACAACACTTACTTTTACATCCTCTCTCACTTTCACTCTTAAGTGCAAAAATACCTCTCGACAATTTGCACTCTCTACTCGCGCTCCAAAAAAATCACAGCACTGTCAAGATTTATACGTTTTTATTGCAGAATACGAGCTTGGATCGACTCTATCATCAGACAGTATATACATACAGAAATATATACAAGCGTTTAGAAAGAAACAGACTGAAACAGCCCGACACAGCCGCAGCAGACGCCTGGTTCTGCTCAAGGTTTCTGCCTAATAAAACGATGTTGCTAAATGTTTCTGTGTGCTGCGCTCGTGGTGGATGAATGTTATAAAGAGGACATGCACTTTTTGTTAAGTGTCTCCAGATAATGTTTGATATAAATTGGTGGTTAACAAATAAAGATTGACTCATTGATTTAAAAACAGATCAGTACAGAAGCCCAAAGCGGACATGCTTCCACACATTTAATTTTAAAACAACTTAAAAAACAACTTTTTTTAAGTTGTTTTCTCGTGATCTCATGAATTAACTCATTATCACAGGAAAATCAGCACTGTTACTCCGAGAGAACAACATGAATAAGGCCGAGTTGATTATTTCAGCCAGAAATTTAAACTTTTTGTTGCATTTCAGTTATTCTGTTAAACAACAATAAGGTTTTTTTTAATAGTTTTTGGGGGGCTACAGTGGATAGAGTCAGAAATCAGAGAGCGAGAGAGAGAGAGAGAGAGAGAGAGAGAGGGGAATTACATGCAGGAAAGGAGTCACAGGTCGGACTTGAACCCACAGGCTTACAACTTGGGTTAAAGTTGTGTTAGCCGTTTTTGTCTGTTTACACCTCACTGCTCTGTAGAAGGAAGAGTCACACCGCCAACTACTGGCTTGGCATGTCCACTTCAGCGTTTTAAGTCCTTCTGCGGATTCTGTGTGGGCAACAGATGTTATCCAAGATTTGTCTGAACGCGTAACATTTTTGAAAACTAAAAACCATTACAGTTTCAGTGGATTCTTGTGTAAATGTTGCCTAAGCCGAGATCTCGAGGACAAAAAAGGAAATTATTCTCAAACTAATGTTTGAGGATGGGTGTCCGCTCAAGGTGTCCGTAGTTTAGTGAAGTGTACAGTTTGAATTGATTTAGAAAGAGGCCTGTACTGTGCATTATTGCCATGTAAATTCAACTATAAGACTTATAAACATCATTAATGACAGGGTGCCATGATGAAAGTCCAGACCGAGTATTCTAATTGGACAAGGGGCGGTCCATCAGTGTTTATATGAAGCATTGTAATTAGATGTAGCATTTTGCTGAGCATTAAAGCTAACTGTCTCACAACCAAGATTAGTATTTCACTGGTCGCACAATAAGTCCAAGTGTCCACCTAGTATTTTTCTTCTGAGCACCAGCATCTTTTTCAGTTGTTTTCAATGAGTAGAGAGTGTTTCAGCAGCAGGCGGCCGCCTGGACAAAAAGTGCAGCGCTCAGCGTTTTTTTTCTGTCAGAGCGCTCCGCCTTTTTTTCGCGCGGCTGCTCCAAGTGCTCAAGTTTAAAATCTTTCAACCTTTCAGAAAGGCGCTGATAACACCACCGGCAATCTTTTCCAAATGTATGATATTCCAGGTATTTTTGCCAGCTATGGATAGTGCCTACCCAAATCCTCTTCGCTCCATGTCTGCTGGAGTAAAAATGATCTCAAATATAAAACATACAGTAACAAGCAACGAAGCAATGTTTGTCATACAATGTTTGACATACAGAGGCCGTTGTCAACAGACTGTTGTCTTAGAGACAGGAGGGACGTGCAGCGCTTTTCTTCTTAGCACACAAATAAGCACACTTCTTCAACGCTTCGTGCAGGCACACAAAGCCTGCGCTTTTCCACCTCGTAAAAACGCTAGGTGGACACGGGACCTAAATAGCGACATACAGATACATGTACATGATACAAAAATAAATGTTTACGTGTGTTCAAGTCAAGTTGAAGTCAAGTCAAGTGATAGGCTAGTAGTAGTTGTGTTGTGAAGCAAAATTGAATGATAAAATAAACACAAATAATAAACAGTTGTTGATCATCACTGTTTACTTCTATAATCAGCTCACAGAACTTTTATATCAAAGTAATATCACGCCGCAGAGCCTCCAGTGTGATATTTCTTATTAGCAGCAAAAGTAACAGAGTTAACATGAAGTGTCTATAATCTCAAGGCTTTCTGTACACACATTGTTTTGCCATAGACTGTATATTAAGATGGACAGAGAAACAGCCGCCTGGGAGTGAAGCCAAAAGATTTAGAGCTCCCCCTGCTGACTGGCTGCTAAATAGGTCATAAACCCTGTCTCCTCCATGTTAACAGATGGAACATAAGTCAAACTTAAAAGTTAAACTACTCGTCAAATAAATTATCATATGTCATGATGGTTAGTTCTTATGATGCGGGTTATGTCCTAATTTTCATTTTTCTGAGTAGTGACAGGGGTATTTTGGCTTCACTATTGTACGACAGGAGGAGATGGAGACGCACTGTCCATATTGATATACGGTCAGTAGGTTTGGCTAACAGCAGTTCTCTTAATGAGATAATGAGTTCCTTGAAACAGAGTTAATATATATCACATGTGCATCTTACAGGATGTGTTTGCACGTCGTCACAGATTTTATGAATATATATTTTCCTCTTCTTTTTTACTGTTTTATCAGTAAATGTTCATTTGGTGGAGGCGATCACCGGTCCAGCCAGCAAACAGACGGGTAGCGCTCACCCAGCGTCTTACGCAGCTGAGCGCTCTGTGTCCTGTCCCTGGTTTCCACCACACACTCCACCTGTGCGCACACACACACACACACACACACACACACACACACACAAACACACACGCACACAACAGTAAGTCTTGCAACACCTATCACTGATGACTTTGAAAGTCCAGTGTATTTGTCAGTACAGGCCATAGTGCACAAAGGCAAATATGCAAAACCAGAGAAATTCTGCTCCATCCAAAGCAAGAAAAACTGAACAAGAAGTCGTGCTCAGGGTGGCTAAGAAGCTAAACACTGTTATAATTTATAACAACTGTATTCCTGGTTGCAGCCATGTAAATGTAGATAAATATGACAAATGATTATCATTTCATCGATAAAAAGATAGAAGTGTTGAAGTCATCGGGCAGTGAAAATCTTGAGGGACATCAGAGCACATTTTACATTAATGGTAATGTTGCCTCGCCAGATGTACTGTTAACAAGCTAACAGATTTTTACGGAGCCTTAAAGGAGACATGGGCAGGACATATTCCTTTTGTCGTTATGTTTTGATGTTTTGTGTAAAGAACTCTGAATCTCCTTGTGATGAATTGTGATAAATAAATAAACTTGCCTTGGTGAGCAAACGAAAAGAAGACAAAAGCATGAGGTACAAAAAGGAGAGATTAGTTTCCTACCTTTGCTTTGAACAGGTCTGTCTTATCACCTTGTCTCCGATGGCAGACATCCAACAGCCTAGGAGGAAGAGGACGGAGTAAAGTATTAAAGGGGCATAAAAAATAGAACGGATTGGAGCGTAAACAGAGCAGAGGTCTTTAAATGGACGGCAGCTGACTGTACCTGACGTCCTCTCTGGACAGGAAGTCGAGCAGCTTAGCCATGTCTCCTGGCCATTCTCCCAGCTGCACAGAGAACTTGCTAACCCGATCGTCCAGCACCAGAGCCCGGTCCACACACTGCCGGACCAGCTCCAGGTCCATGTTAGCACTGGTCACCACTACAGCAACCCTACAGCACACACACACAAATACACACAGGCAGGGAGTCTTGATTCATCTGAGGCCAAACGGATTAACTCTACTGGCTTACATCACTCACAGTCAGGACTATTTTTAAAGGTTGTTTATTTGTCAATTTATTTGTTTTTTATTCATTTATTTTTATAATGGACATGTACCAATATCAACCATAAACGCTGACATGTAATGAAATGTCCCGGAGTGAGCTTAAAGCTACATGATGTCTTTCTTTGGCTCTTGGAGAAACAGGTAGAGGACTTTTTAGTTACTGTTAAAGACAATAATTGATTGAATAATTAATTGATAGATTGGTTGATTGATTGACTGATAAACCTAATTAAAGTACATTAATTACATTCTCAGGTTACATGCTTGTTCTGCTTTGACCTCAAATAAACCTGGGATGTAGCTTCCTTTGAATAGACAGTAAACTTTTTTTTTTCTTTTTTTTGTTTAACAACAAGAAGGGAATGTACTGTTGAAACACATCACATGTTTGACTGACTGTGTCCACAAACAGTGTTTATTGAGCTGGAAGCGCCAACAACTTTAATTTCAGAGCTCCCTCACTTGCACGTACTGTTGCTAGGTTACGATGGCTGTCCTGTGGCACTTCAGCTTCCCTCTGTAGTAACCATTTAGTTTGTAAGATAAATATTTTCTTTTTATCCAAGATCATTTTAGTTTTGTTTTTTTTCTAACCCGCAATTCACACATACTACGTCAGCGCCACGGTTTTGCTCCGTCGGACGGCTCGCGCCCATTCACACTGGATCCGTTTCTGGGACGTCAGCGCAGCGGAGCACACCCATGACACATCACAGGAGAACTACAAGATCCCGCGGGAATAAAGAGAAAAACATGCAAACAACATGTTGCTTTGTCTTTCTGAGGATGCATTGTTGTTAATTCGGTTCCTGTTTTGACGTCATGTTGATAAAGTGATGAAAAATACGATCGCGAGTCCGTATATTGTGTTTTATTTTGAAATTGACCGGATGCTCTGTGTGTTTCCTTGTCTGACTTCCTGTCCGGGCTGTCATATTCTGTCCAGCTTGATGCGAACTTGCAGCGTACTCCGGCGAAAATAGACTCGCTGCGTATTTGAAACGGAGCAGAGCGCAGTGCTGTCGGTGGCTCGCGCCGGAGACGGACCGCAACGCGCCCTGTGTGAACACAATGATCGACTAGAGTGGAAGCTAAGTACAACGTAGTGCGCAGCGCTGACGGACCGCGACGCGCACGGAGTATGTGTGAATTGGGCTTAAGTCTGGTTGAGATAAACAGTACCAGGAAAAAAAAGTTACTATCTCTTCCGCCATTGTTGTTGACAAAGTTGTTATCATAAGCCCCGCTCCTTCTACATTTTGATTTGGGGGGTAACGTAGAAGTGACAGTGACCAGCATACCACTGTTCTAAATTTAACTATTTCAATATAAAGTGCTGTGAACGCAGCAGAAACAAATCAGCTGTCTGCAAGGGCACAGAGGATGCTGTATTGAATTTGTTAAGAAAATAGGCATTGCTAGCACAGAAAATGGCCGAGTAGTGTTAGGGTGGCTATACACGACACAATTTTGGGCCCAATTGCAGCATGTCAATCCCCGCTTTCTCTCTCCCCAATTTCTGACTCTATCCACTGAACTGTCTCTAAATAGGCAAAAAAAGCAGTAAAGAATAAAAATGATGACTCACTTTTTGCCTCTTAGTTCTGGTAGTTGTCCAGCCAAGATGGCCGCCAGTCCCATGGCTCCCTCTGTGTCCACTGTGGAGCGTTCGAACTCCTGAAACCGCAACATGGCCACCAGAGAGTCCTCCTCACTGTGAGGGAAGTAATGATACAGGAGATTGCACAACATATTCCTTTTTAAAATCGAGATTCCTCTGACTAGATCTAAAATGAATGGTACAAAATCATCAATGTCCTTATTAATTCACTTAAAACGGATCAGCCAGTATTTCAGTAGTATAATGGTGACCTATAATCTGAATTTGGAGATGGACATGTGGAGTTGCAGTACCTGACAGAAATGACTCTATCCACGAGTTTCTTTGCCAGCTGGAAGGTGTTTTCACCGAGCGAACGCTCCATGAGATCTGACAACAGAAATGTAGAACTTGTGTTACTTCACTTTCCGCTGCTGAGAAACTAAAAAGCTACATGAGCTGCTACCAGAAGAATATGTTTAAAATGGTTAATTTTACTCTGGGTACACATCTCAGGACCTGAACCTACTAAAACATTACCTCCGTAGAGTTTCCTGTTGGGGTTGCTGTGAATGTCTTTGACTGGACTGTCAGTTTTCAGAGACTGAAGCAGCAAAGGGAAACTTTCAGGCTCGATTCCCTGTCAAAGAAAGTCCATTTAGTTAAGGTTGTTTTCACATGACAGGGTTTCATATTTAATTAAACTAGACAACATGATTTGCTATTTAAAAATTGTTTAAAGTAACAATAGATCTTATTCTAGAGATCTTCTTAAAGTGGAAACAGACCACTAAGCTTGTTTTTTTGTTTTTTTTACATGGGGACACCAGAGTGAGGATCTGAACAAAAATAACGCCAAGTTGTTCCTCCTGATCTCAGCAGCAGGTACAACATGTTGAGCCTGGTTGCCAAGAGCAGGCAGAAGTTGCTCATAAGTCTGCTCAAAGCCTATTTTAAGGATTTCTGTTTGGAAGAGTTAAGCTGAAGAAAATGTTCTTCATTCCAACCCTTCAGTGCAGCTAGGCAAATACCTATGGAAGAGAAATTACACCATTTAAGAGACATGTACATCAGGGTGTCATCTGCATAGGGATTTCCCACAGGGAAAATAAAAACAGAAAATCACATTGGCCCTCATATGGAGCCCTGTTGCACACCATAAATAGAAAAATTGCCGAACCAGCAAACAGTAATCAAACGTCTGATTATTTACTTACTATGACAAGGATTTTAGAGTTGAGGTGTTTGATGGCTGCAGCTGTACCGGCCAGTAGACCGTACTGCCCAGCTGCAGGAACAATCACTGCATCCAGTTTAGGAACTTGCTCGTAGATCTCCATGCCAACTGTACCCAGACCTGCCAGGTACGCTGCACTCTCATCTCTGGACAAAAAAAAAAATAGAAGAAAAAGAAAGAAAGAGTATGTCAGATAAAGTGTTCCTCGATAAACGGACCACTAAAACCTGTTTCTCATCTTTGTTCCTTGAGAAGTTCTGCACTGTACCCAACCAAAAAAGCGGAGCAAACAGTTGACTGCATTGTCGCTTGCTTGCATTGTTTGAACACGACATTTGAAATGAATCTTGCCTCCACATTTGACAGCAAAATAGAAGTTGTTTCTTGGTTCCTTACATCCCCCTGGAGATGCACCACATTTTTTGGTTTATTCAACCTCCTATCTTAGGAACCCTGGATAAACTTTCCTGCGACTTCCAGCTTCCCATGGAAGATCAGTCTGCGACCAGTAAGCTTAAGCTCAAGGCCAGCAAGGTTTAGCTTGACTGGGAACAAGTTCTTCTCTGAATGAAACCAACTCCTGGAGTTGAATTTCAGTAGTTGAGTGCTTAGTCATGTTTCTCTGGGGAGTTTTTTTTCTCTAGAATGTTATCTAGACTTAATTCAGCGGGATAAAATAATTGTATTTACTTGTATAGAAGTTAATTAAATTAACTTGCTATTACTTTTCAGGCCAATACCACAATTTTCGAGCAAGGCACCCGAAGCCAAAACATAACACACCAATCTTCACATAAACCATACATTCACTATTTAATGTTTGTTAAGTTCAAAACTGAAAATTTAGAAATGGTTCTATGCAAGTTTTATTTCTAAGTGCAAGAAATTTGAAATGATGTTTGAAATGTTACAAATAACCTCTTACTCCACACCAAGAGATCTTTTCATTTTTACACTTTATTTTTTGTACTTTGACTAATGCGACTGAAATGGAAGAACATCTTTCATTCTGATAAGTTTGATGTTTTTAATGACTCACATTGTTCAGTGATTGGTGGTTTCACTGCATGTTGTAAATCATGTGTGTGGCTGCCATTTAGACTTAGACTAGACTTACATAGACTCAGATGTGATCTTAGTGCATTAAACAGGCGCTTAAATGCGAGTTTTTGTTTTTTAAAGTAGTTTGGATCCTACAGATCTGATGCAAGGCCAGCAGAGGAGTCTCAAGGCTGGCATGTTTTAATGACACCTTCATACAAATTTCTCCCTCAGTGACTATGGGAAACCATATTCTCTTCATTGGCATAGCATGTTTGCTCTGAATGCTCTGAACACAATTAGATACTGAAGCTGCTGAGGCACCTTGCAAGGAGATGAAGTTTTGCCAAAAAACAAACGGCAGGTATAAGTATTAAATATAAGTGAATACAGAGACAAAGAGAGTTAAGTTTAAAATTTGTATCAGTATAGCTTTTTAGTGCAGAAGTACACAAACTTATGAATTTTTTTTGACCCTGTGTGAAATGTCAAAGTATAAAGTGGGACTGACTCTTCCAGGTACATGTATCCGTTCTCTGAAGCCAGGTGGCGGGCGTGTTTCTGGGAGTCGTGTCCCGTGCTGCCGTAGGAGATGACCATGGCCCCGTAGTCTCTGTAGATCCTGAGGCGTGGCGAGGAGCAGCATGACGGCATGATGACGAACACCGGGATCTTCAGCTCCACGGCGTGATGAGCCACGGCCATCGAGAAGTTACAGTCAGTGGCCACGATCACTCCTTTCCTCTGCTGCTCCTTGAGGGACACAAACACATGATAACATGACGCACATCATTAGAGGTTAAGCTTTGAGAGCCATGCACGATTTTATGTCTTACAAGGACTTAACTTTGTGTAGCCTAGGTTGATTATTTTACAGGTTTCTAAGTCTCACAAGTTTAGCCCTTCATCTTGATTCAAAGCAACAATATGTAGGACTTTGGTATGGTGAGCTTTGGCGCCCACCAAAGGTCTCTCTGTGAAACTGCACTGACATAAGACACTCATAGTGCTGTTACGCCTCCTCCTCTTTGACAACGTGCATTTGTTAACAAGCAGAGGTCGGAGAAGCCAGATTTTGAGCAAATACGACTCTGCTATCAGCTGCAGCTCGTTGTTTTCGAGCTGTTAGCATGTGGAGTGTTGGTATGTGTATTGAACTGTAACCATGACGTCTATATGCTGTGTTTAAATGGCTCCATTGGAGAAAGTAATTTATAACTGAAGTGCAAAATCCTGCAGTTTGTCATAAAGCTTAAAACCCGCCTCAGCTCCGGCTCTCAGTCAGTCGTTAGGTTGACTGAAAGTAATTTTTCCAGCATAGCGACTACTGCTGATGAGCCTCCTACAGTAATGGATGGCTGACGTCACTCAGCCTTCGTCCATTAATATTTACAGTCTATGTTCCAAACTTAAGATAACTTTGAGATTGACAAGAGACAAATTATGGGCATAAAATTGATTGATTGATTTATTTACTTGTCTGCAAACATCCTTTAAAACTTCAATTTAAAGGTCATAAAGTTACATATTGTTGCTTTAAGAGCACGTGAACTTCCAGCCAGGCACCAGTTAACACTGTGATAAAACGCTCTGTATCGTCAAGACTTGGCATTAAAACCATCATAATCATCATCAAAGTGAGAAACTCAAAAATGTGAAGATAATCCCTTTGTGCTGCTGACGATGACTGATGTTCACCGTAGTTCTTAGGGTTGACAAGAAACCAGACTTTTAAACTTTGATACTGGTAAAAAAAAAATCAAACATTATAGATACCTGTTTCAATACCACAGCAACAAAAATAGAAGTCCTGCTGGGTAATTTCTAAGAGTGCTCTCTCTTACACGTGCGGCAGCTTTCTGTGAAAAATCTGACTGTAGAAGTTTTTTAAAGCTTTGGATGCTACCAAACATTAAAAGAATGCAGATCACATTGTTTAAAACACCTGGTATTAAAAACGTTGATGTCTTATAATCGTCTGATAGAAATCAAACTCACTTTGGTCACAGGTACACACTCAGGGAAACATTCCCGAGTTGCTTCCATTAAAGCAGAGACTATTTTGTCCCTTCAGGTCATTGCTCAGGTCAGCTAACACATGTGACAGCAGCTGTGACCTGTCAGCGAGTGATCCCCTCCCTTTCTCTCACCTGTGTGAGGGAGCAGAGCAGGTACAGGACTCCTCTTTCCTTCACTGAGCCCGTGTAGTGCAGGTGCTCCTTCTTCAGGTAGATCTCCATCCCGTACTGTTTGGACAGCCTGGAGTACTGCACAAAAAATACATAAAAACATGAAAATGAAGAAAAGATACAAGCAGCGTTTCAACTCTGTGTTTGAGAGGATGTACGGAAGCCTATTAGGGCCAGTCATAAGGGAAAAACTGAGATTTTATATTTTAATTAAGCAACTTGAGATTAAAGAATAAATGTCACAAATATTCCTCCTCTGATTATTTTTTCTGGCTTAAAGCTAACACTTGTTCTGGAAGTTAGACTCCAAACTCAACATGTTTATCATGTTTATTTCATGTTTATTTTTATCTTAACAACTGAGCTGCATGTTCAGCACTTTGACTTTATGCTCAAAGAAGGACTTGACTCTTGACGTCTCTCTCCTTTTCTTCTTTTCTTATTCTCTATTCTATACGAAATGCAAAAAAAGTTTCCTTTACTTGATAATTGTTTTCTTATGGAGTTAGTTTTATCTCGAAAATCAAGGACAAAGACCTTTTTCTTGACAAAAGACGAGGCAATGGAGAGCTAAAAATATATCATTGGAAATGCAAACTCTGACAACTCTGACAACACTGGCCACCGTGCGTGAAATCTGTCTGTCAAAAAACAAGCAGGTGAGAGGAGAGGTGTGTGTGCTGCAGGAGGAGTGTGGGTGTGTGGGGCTGAAGAAGAGAGATGACGAGCCGACGCCATAACAAGCGTTAACCAGTATGGGTAAGATGAGATCTTCCATCCACCTATTATCTATTCCGCTTCTCCCGTTCAGCATTATAGTGGGGCTGGAGCTGATAACAGCTGTCATTGAGCGAGAGGCGGGGTTACACCCTGGACTGTTCACCAGCCAATCACAGGACTGATATATAGAGACAGACAACCAGACACACTCACATTCACAACTACAGACAATTTAGAGTCAGCAGTTAACCTAACGAGCATGTCTTTGGACTGTGGGAGGAAGTTGTAGTACCTGAAGAGAACCCACACATGCACAGGGAGAACATGCAGACTCCACACAGAGAAGATTCTGACAGACGGGAATTCAAACCAGGAAATAATTATAGACAAAAAACACGCTCAACTCACTTTCAACAAAAACAACTGGGTGCTGAATCCCAAAAAAATGTTTGAATAAGAAAAACAAAAAAGGACACCAAATTTTATATTTTAACTGCCACACGAATGTTTCGAGCCTCGGCTCTTCCTCTACTGGGATGGAGCAAAGCTCATCTTGGACAAAGTATAAATTGATCACACCTTTGGATGTTGAAAAAATGGCCTGTTCACACGCTGAGGAAGAGCCGAGATTCAAACCAGGAACCTGCTCGCTATGAGGCTAACCACCGCATCACCGTGCAGCCCATTGCATTTAGCAATATTAAAAGTTGACGTTATTTCGAGTCGAGGTAACAACTGTCTCACAATGTCAGTACAAAGACCCAGAGCAGCCAAGCAGCTATCATGGCAGAGTCTGAAGTTGAACTGGAAATACCCTGAGAACAAGCCTGAGACACTTTTAAACCGTTTGTGTGACAGCTACTGTAGTGGATTCACGGATCACAGTTGATCCGTATCATCATGGTGCTATAAAAACCGAAAGCCTTCTTTGGAAAACCCTTTTTAGCTGATGTGGCTTAGTATTTATTCTTGACTGCAGAACCAAACTATGGCAGCATCTTGATCGTCATATTTTAACGCACAGGGCTGCTGTTAAAACTGGTGACAAGTTGCTGTCAGAATGTTTAATGAAATAAACATTAATTTACGTTATTAAGAATTTTTTCTTTACATTTTTCAGAAACCATTTTCGATAAAGTGCACCTCTTAAAGTGATGAGGATATCACTTGTTATTTTTAAAGGTCAACAATCACTTTCTTCCCGACCCCATCATCCCAGTTAGCTCATGCTAAGCTAATTTACCGTGCAGGGTGTCTTCTGTATCTCCGTCTGGATCCTGAAGGCGGCGGCGCTGATGTCCTCAAAGCGCAGGAACTGAGGAGCCGGTCTGGTGACGATCCTGAACTCGCTGAGACGTCTGGTTTTCGGAGGATCCATGAGAACGATCTCAGGAGTCTCTGTCACTTTGTCGTCATGGACTTTCACGTCCCCGTTCAGGAGGTCTTCCTCACCGAAGTCCTTCAGCCGCTCCGGTTCGATGAGGGTGGGTCTGCGGCCCGCCGTGCCATTTGTGACGGGGCCGGATTTAAAAGAACATCCAGGCTGAGCGGAACCCAAACACAACTCGTCTCTGAGGAACAACAAAATACACAGATGTTCACTTTAATGTCTTAATCGTGGATTAGATTAGGGAGGAATTAATTCAGGATTTAAAAGGGATTCCAGGTATTTTTAAACAAGGCCCTATTATTTTACATTACTGGGTCCAGTTAACTAATCGCTCTGATGGTTTCGGAGTTGCTCTTGTTGATCTATTCAGCGTGACACAGGCTGTCATAGCTGCAGTAGAAAACTTTAGGCCAATCTTTCCAATCAAAGTGCGACTGACTCAGATTGTAATGAGTACATTTAAGAGAGGGTCCCGACAGAGAAAGACCTTTTTGTGAGCCAGAAACATGTGTGACAACACTCTCGTCAAAGACTCCAACACAACAACAGGAGTTGTGGGGCGTCAGATAGCCTAGCGGTCATGTAGTGCGCCCCATGCATGGAGACCATTGTCCTCATTTTAGCCTCTGTGGGTTGGAGTCTGTCATCCCCCACTCTCACCTCCTAACATGTCCTGTATCTGTTCAGCTGTCCTATCTAATAAAGGCAAAAATGCTGAAATAAATACTAAAAGAAGAAGACAGGATTGGTGAAGGATTGGTGAAGGATTAATCGATAATAGATTAATGGTGGGACCGAGAATGATCAGCGTTGACAATAATCAATAATATTAACCGTACAGAGATGGAAGGGGGCCAGAAGTCAAGTCGTGCCCAGGCCCCGGTAAATGCTTTGTCCAGCCCTGGTTTCCGGGTTTTTAATTTATATCTGAATTAAACTGAAATGAAACAGACCTCAGGCCTGACACCAAGGTACCTTCGCCCCACCCTCTAAGTCTAAGATGAATGCATTCACCTTTCATGTCCGCCCAGCTTCCACTAACCGTGACAGATCACATCTCGGTGACAGTTTATGATTCATTGGGTCATTCGAGTCAGTCGTCTTTTTGAGACACAGAAACGATTAAAGCGGTAATGTAGAGCCGGAGGAGTGACAGTTTGATTTATAACCGTTCAGTTCAGGAGCACTGAATTAAACAGACTGTACAATTCTTTTAAAGCGCTCTACAGTTCTTCTATATTTCAGATCTTAAATAACGCAACAGAAGACATACTCATTCAGATCCACAGAGCATTGGGATGGACAGATTTCTGTCTTCTGACTCACACTAAACCATACATGTATTTTTAGCCAATCAGAGTGTATCACATCATCTACAGCAGTGAGTCGAGAGTCTGTAGGGGCCCTTGGCAAAACATTAATTAGGGGGCCTTCCAACCAGAATTCATCACCATCATGTCTGCCAGTGTACCAACGCTTGCTCCTCTTGCTCCTCTTGCTCCTCTTGCTCCTCTTATTCCCTGCTTCTTTTTTATCTCCTAAGCTGTTTTCATATCTGCACTCCGGATAATATCTAGATAACTTCGGGAGGACTGCTCTAAATATTTTCCTTACCTCGTTGTTCACATATGCTCCTCACAGCAGGAGACTATCCCTGTCGGACAGGAGGGGGGGCGGGGGGTTTCCTGAGGTAAGAAATGACTTAAAAAAAAGCGGCATCAAAGTAGCGGACGGAGCAACAGAGTCCGCTATAATGACAACTTTTGCCTCTATACCAATGCTATGTGCAGGAATGACAACATCAACAAAAGAGTGGAGAACAACATACTGGAGAACAGAAAACGTAATGCAGCCGTTTAATAACGTACACACTCCCCCCTCCTATTGGCTCGAGGTGAATTCTCAGGAGAATATCCTGCTGCGTTCTCACATCAGCTCACTCGGACTTACTGGGAGTCTGGCAGGAGAAACTCCCGGTGAAATCTGACTGAAAAAATTGGCTGTTTGTGTTCACACATACAACTCCTCCTGGAAATATCAGGAGTTTTTTGCAAGTGTGAAAGCACTGTAAATTAATTGCTTTTTTCAGACTGTAAGTGGATGCTACACTGTTGTTTACTTCCTCATTCCAAGAACAGAAACCAGCAAAATAACGGACCGACTGGCAGTCATACTACAGACTTCTGTTGAACTTAGTATGCAGTACATTCAGCATACTACATTGGATAGTAGTAAGTAGTAAGCGGTTTTAAACAGCCATACTGTATTGACTTATCCAGCTTGCAAGTAAGCCTGTTTGATATTTCCTCTCCCAGCAGATGTTTCTCCAAAACCTTTAAACATGGATCAGCATCAATGGAGCCTTCTCCAATGTGCAGGTGCGTCTCCATGCCATCATGGATCCTGGCTTTTGAACTGAGCGCTGATAACAAGCCGGATGATCCCTCTCCTATTTAGGACACAGCGTCTATAGCCGCTTTTTCTGAGAATGTGATTACTCCGTGTTATCCGTGTTTCCTCTGTATTGTTTCTTTGTTCATCGTCCTGCACGTCCAGCAGCCGCTGCAGCTTTTTAATCTGCTTTGTAATTAATTAGATAAATATGACTTGATTTAAACCTTTAAATGCGCTTTTTTTAGGTGAATTCTGTCCATCGAAATTTGCCCTTAAATTATTAATTAAGACATACAGTACTTGTTTCCTTTATTCGATTAATAGTGAATTATGAGCAACTAAAAAAGATATTTCCAGGTTGTGTGTATTGAGGTTAGCTCAGGTTAGACTTGATTGTGAGCGTTTTCCTACTGAAGTAGTAAATCTGGAGATCCTTAACACTGTATAAATGTGATAATTAGATTAAAGTCTTTGGGGATTAACTCTGTCACTTAGCTGTCAAAGCAGATCACAAAGGGTTAATGATGAAGTTTCACACTTTGAAAAAGGCAGACGCTCTTCTCCAACCTGTTGTCAACAACACAACTCAAGCAGAGTGATCGTTTTCCAGCCGAGACAATCCTATGAATTTATCTGCAGCTAACGGTCCAGAGAGCGCCGTGCAAGAAGAGTGAAAAAAACATCAGTGAAAGAAAAACTTTAATGAGATTGTAGTTTGATTTAAAATATCCTCTGACCACCAGGGGGAGCTGTTCTCCAAAACAACAATCTGAATGTGCCAAAAGTCTGCAGAGAACATCACACTCTATTTATATCGCAACGATCTGCTGTAAACAATATTGTCACCTTTCACCTCATACCAGGGGTCCTTCAATGCCCTCTGCCCCACATTCAGACACACAGTGAACTCCTCACACCGCACATGTCTGCACCTGTGATGAAGTTGAGTGCAAACACAACACGAGAGAGGGGATGGAGCAACAACGCAGACAGTCTGAAGGCTCAGAAAGCCTCCTGAAAAATCTCATATGTTCAAAACTGTTCAAAGTGAGATCAGAGCAGAAAGTAAGGAGGACGTCAGAGCCAGCAGGCCGTCATCGTTTCACCCTCTCGGCTCCTTCATGTTCTTCTAAGTACTGAAGGTCCTGACTGGTTAATTCCTGACTGGTACAGTTTTCATCTGTGTGAGGAAATAGCACCTAAAGCTCGACATGACCCTGTATGTCCATGATGCATTGTTGCAGGTGCAATCTTTGCATCACTCTGGCCAATTGACTTGCAAACCATGACCTCTAGAACTTACATCTGCATATCAACAGAACGTTTTTTTAATAATTTTGTGGTCAAAATAAATTCACAGCCTGCTTTTCATACACAGACAACATTTCTTATAGTAACACTTCCTGGGTTCATGTCCAAACTCTGCTCTGAGGTTAACATCAGTATACACACACACTCTTGTTGATGTCAGAAACTTTTCTCTTCAGTTTGATTTTCTAAAAGGTCCACTGTCCTTGTGCGTTTAAATATGATCTTAAAACTGTAAAAAGCATCAGTTATTAGGAATTTGTGTCATCATCATGTATTTTAATTTGTTGCCCTGCACCTACTGTACTAGTGAAGTGCAAACATAACCACCCTGAAACTTTTTGTTGTCCTATACAGAATCAGCTCTTTATCAGTGGAAAATTACTGATTAAAGTCGCAGTGAATTTGCTCAATTCTATTTAAATGCATGCTATTTAAATACATTTCTGTCATCAAAACAATAGAAAGCCTCATTCAGAGGGCCACATGTTCACTGCTCCTATTGCACATTTTATGGTCTTTGTCTGGTTGGTTGTAAAAAAAAAGGTAGCAAGCAGATATAGCACCACTGCTTTTAAGACACATGTATCCAAGATTTGTTGAAATCGCAGAAGAAGAACTTGCAACCCCACAAACATTTGCCAGTATGGCTGTAAAATAATCTAGAAAACACATATCTCTTGGAGTTACCTGGAAACGAAGAGGAGAACAAGGTAGAGGACAAAACGAAGGAACAAGTCTACCAGGGCTTCAAAGGTTGGGAGCTGCTCTCCTCTAAGAGGGGCAGGAGGTGAGGAGGAGGAGGAAGGTTCGAGCAGAACGATCTGGAGAGAGTCTGTTGATTTGGAGAGTGCAGCAGCCAAACTTAGGTTTGGATGACGGGTAGATGATTGTGTTAATTTCTTTATGTGATTAGAGTGAGGAGAAGGAGGAGGAGGTGACTGGAGATTTGAGGGTGAGTCTTTTTGGTGAGGAGAAGAAAAGGAGGTCCTCGGGGAAAGAGGCACAGAGGGTGTGGAGGAAGGATCTGCGTTGGAGCACTTAGCAGGAGGTAAATCTGTATCTACAGGGCTGAGCAGGTGAGGGGAAAGGTCTGAAGGAACCAGGGGGGTAGAAGTTGTAGTTTCCCACCTCTGCCAGAAGGGGTCATTCTCCTCGCTGCCTTTGAGCGCAGGTCTGGGTGCATACAGACGCTCGAGTCGCTCGCTCAGGTAGCTGGAGTAGAATAACTGCGCAGCAAAGTTCATCCTGCTCGATGTGTGTCCTCCTGCAGTCCGTCTCTGGATCTGGATCCCTCTCCTCTCTGGCTGTGATGTGTCCCAGGGATAAAAGGGACACTGAGTGGATATGCTCCCACCGTGTTACCTCCCCTACCGTCCTTCCTCTCTCTCTCCACAGCCAAAGGCTATTTAAGAAGAGATTACCCAGAGGCACATGCACGGTGGCTCTGCAGCGTCTCTCTCCGCTGGCCTG